CACCAGAACGCTGACACAAGCTTCCCTAACCAGGAAACCTTGACAAACCAATCGTCCAACCCCACCCACTGGGTGAAACCTCCACAATAAAAAGGAACCTCAAACCACAAGAATACAGAAAGCCCACTCCAGACACAGCAATCTAAACAAGATGAAAAGGCAGAGAAATACCCAACAGCTAAAGGAACATGAAAAAAGCCCACCAAGTCAAACAAAAGAGGAGAAAATAGGGAATCTACCTGAAAAAGAATTTAGAATAATGATAATAAAAATGATCCAAAATCTTGAGAGTAAGCGTAAAACAAAAAGTAATTGTTTTTCCTTGTGTGACCCTTTAGACAATTACTGCCATAGGCTATCAGAAGGTTTTTGCGTATTTAAATATTTCAGATGTCATCCTTTTGGCTGAAACTAGTATGACCAAAATAAAATTCTCTCTCAAATAATAATATAGGTTTAGATTATAAGACAGAATAATACTAAATGATTATCCATTCTCTCACCTCCCTTCAAAATGCAGGCTGTGATTTTTTATAAATAGTAAACAGATTTCTGTTAGAGAGTTAGATTATCTGTCAGCTTTAAGATGATGTTTACCACTTGATTTTGTTCTACTTACGATTCTCCTAATTATAATGATTAAATGCCACTCACAATTTATAGGTGTTTTATTAAACCAGTAGAGGTAGAAATGCCACTCCTAAATTTTTCAAACACAAAAATTCTCAATTTTATTAGCATAAATTATCAATGAACGTTTTTTATCAACTTCCTTCTCAAAAAGTTCTTCTGACTTTCAAAATATACTGCATCATATATATTCCTTCAAATTTCAATGAGGTGTTCCACGCTGGTATATTCAGGAGATCTCTACACAATATACAGTTAACATTTAATGGGGTCCTACCAATCAGGCTCAACATTACCTATTAGGTCTTACTTCCTGTTACTCCTCTATTTAGATCAAGCTCCACTCGCAAAATGAAAAGCCTTTGTTTCTTAAGTTCTCTACTTGGATGATGTCCTTGACATCTCCCATCAAGCCACACATGATCCATTCAATGAGACTGGTTAAAATCTGTTTTTTGAAATCTTCTTCCAAATGATTTCTAGTTTGACTTTTTTCTACTTTTCTGAATCACATGATAAAACATACTCTACATGTATTATTTCTTATAGAAGTTATATCTGGGCTTCCCTTGTGGCTCAGCTGGTAAAGAATCCACCTGTAAGGCAGGAGACCTGGGTTCAATCCCTAGGTTGGGAAGATCCCCTGAAGAAGGGAAAGGCTACCCACTCCAGCATTTGGGCCTGGAGAATTCCAAGGACTGTATATATAGTCCATGGGGTCGCAAAGAGTCGGACACAACTGAGCGACTTTCAGACTATTTAAAATACCAAATATACAAATATATAGTATACTCTGGAGGCAGTAAGATCTAAGGCAAGATTAGCTAGAGTAAAATTCAGAAAGCTAAATATATCATTTTATTTTAAAAATTGATAGTGTACTAAGAGATACAAAAAAATCTACTTCAAATTCCAGAGGATCAGAATCACATAGGTTATAGTCTTTGACTGTATGTTATATAAACAGGAATTAAAGGCAACTCCCAAACTAAACACTTAGGAATTTAACAGTTTTCTTCTATAAACTATTCTTGGACCAAAGGAATCAAAATTATAATAATATTGGGAATATGAAATCTCAAAATCTAAAGGACACAGCCAGATTGGTACAAAGGAAATTTCAACTTAAGCAATATAAAATAACATTTATTTCAAGAAGCTAGAAAAAGAAAATAAACCAAAATAAAGAAGAAAGAAAATAATGTGGCAATTAGATAAAGACCACAAAAGGCTTTTTCTTTACAAAAATCTGAATAGAAGACCAAAAAAATGGGAGAAAAAGAACATCAGAAATCAGGAAGGTGGTAATACCAAAAATACAGGAAACAGTTTTAAAATTTATAAAAGAATAATACACATAATTTTATGCCAATAAACTATAACATCTTTATTAAACAGATGATCATCTAGGAAAATATAAGTTATCAAAATTACAAAGCAGAAAAACTGAAGACACCCAGCAAAACTACAGATAACTGAAAACGCTGCCTACAATCTATACCCAATAAAGGAATTAGGCTCATTTTGTATTAGAGTTGTGCTG